CACCCCCCCCCTGCCCTTTTACCCCCCCCTGCCTCCATAGTCTCCCCGTCCTTGGAACCCACCTCTTCCACCACCACTGAAACCACCACCGCCGCCGCCTCCTCTACCGCCTCCTCCCCCCCAGCCACCCCGCCCACCACCTCCTCCCCCCCAGCTACCCCGCCCACCACCTTCTTGTCTCTTCTGCCAAGGGGGCATTTCAGGAGGCGGTGGTTCAATCTCAGTGGGTCTGCCTCCACGATCTGGCACTCTCCCCATCAGCACCTGTGCAGAGAAATACATATGCTTCTGTTTAAATAAGAAGGCAGCTGCTGAAAGAATGTACAAATTACCTTGTGGCCTCCTCCCCCCCAGCTACCCCGCCCACCACCTTCTTGTCTCTTCTGCCAAGGGGGCATTTCAGGAGGCGGTGGTTCAATCTCAGTGGGTCTGCCTCCACGATCTGGCACTCTCCCCATCAGCACCTGTGCAGAGAAATACATATGCTTCTGTTTAAATAAGAAGGCAGCTGCTGAAAGAATGTACAAATTACCTTGTGGATGAAAAGCATCTGCTTACCCCTTACAGGGAACGCACTCCTAGAGAGAGAGATCTGGGGGGAGTCAGAACTGTCAGGTTACCATCCCATGTCTGCCACAGACTTGCCATGTGACAATAAATAGCCTCGTAGAGTCAGTTTTCCATCGATAAAAGGACTACCCACCAGCTACTGCTTAGGGTGGCCAGGTTTAAAATGAACTTTGAAATCTTGACAATCAAACGTGCTGTAGCATGTCTATCAATGCTCATCACTACTTAATCCTTGTATTATATAATGCTGTTTAAATTAAACCAGAATGGCAAGTATCAGTTCATAGCTCAGAAAATACTTCATAGACAGCTACATTGAGTAGCATATATGATCACTAGTTTAGTCAGATTATATGCAACTATAGTATGGTTTATTGCTTTCTTTTCAATCAGGCATTGCTAATGCACTACAGAGAACTGAAAAAGCAACCAAGCATATAAAGCAATGGTATAATAGCACCTTTAAGTGAAAAGTGGTATCTTGAGATTCACTTGACATGAATTTATGTACAAAAAGAATATTGTTTGAAAAAATATTCACACAGCATCATTCTAACGTGAAGAGACACTGTATAATAGTCAGCTTGCAGAAAAACAAGACAGTTTTAGCTACCCAAGTAGCCTGTTGATAATTTTCTTGCTTTCCTACATTCCCTCCCAACACCCAATGTATATCCACATGCAAGTTACTCAGATCACTGTCAAAAAAGCATTAACACACATGCTGTATACCAATTAGTATTTATAGAAACAAGGAAGCATGTGTTAAGAAAAGCCTTGATTTCCAGTTATCTCCCTATGTGATTACCTGTCTCATGAGCTATCAGTGCTTAACTAGTGCATGCATGGCCCAGGCTCTTCTGACCCTTTTCTACAACAAAGTGCGGTGCAGATTCTGAAGTAGAGGAGGAGGGTGGATAGTGGAGCACCCACAGAAACACACATCTCAAAGTACGTCAGTTACTGCATATGGTGAGTAACTTCTCCTTCAAAAGATGTTCCTGTAGGTGTTCCACTCCAGGTGACTAGAAAGCAAGATCTCTTAGGATGGGTTAGGGATTTGGATCAGGTAAGAAACTTGTTGATAACACAGCTCTTCCCAGTCTAGTGTCGGATGATGAGCCTTGCATGAGAGTGTAACGATTGGCAAATGCAAGGTTTGAGGCCCAAGCCTTGCATATGTCAGAAAGAGACATTAGGGAGAAGGTGGTGAAGGTGCACACAGATCTCAGAGTGTGCGTTGACTGATGTACGAGACTGAACTTGCTTCAATTGGTAACAGAGGTATGCAGTCAGTGATCCACCTGGAACGTCTCTGAGTGGAGATCACTGTGCTCTGTGATTGTTAAGCAGTAGAGATGAAGAGTTCAGGAGTCTGTCTAAATGGTTTTATTCTATTAAAAAAGAATGATAGGATGTCAGAGTGTGCATTACTACTACAAATGCATTAGTGTGTAGGTTTGGGAAAAATCTTGGCAAAGTGGACTGGCTCTTTTAGGTAAAAGGAGTACACTTCAGGCAGAAATTTGGGATATGTACAGACCATAACTGTCACAAGAGAATGTAGCATATAGAGGTTCAGTTGTAAGTGCTCTAAGTTCTCCTATTCTTCTAGCAGAGGTAAGCGCCACTAAGACGACTGTTTTCATGGATAAGTAGAGAAAAGTGAGCAGGTGGCCCATGGTGTAAAGCTTCTTAAACCGTGTTCTGTGGCACACCAGCATGCCTTGAGGCAGTTGGAAGTGTGCCACAGATATATGGTGACCATACGTCCCTTTTTTTCCCTAGGGCAGTCCCGGATTTAAAGATACCCAATGGTAGCGTGGTGCAGCAGCAACTCCCCACCTCCACACAGCATGTAGTGCTTTGGTGCTTTGCGCAGGCAGCCAGGGCTGCTGCCAGTGGCGTGCAGTGTCCAGACCTCTCATGCAGCACACACTGCTGTCTGGCAAGCCCCTCCCCCATCAGGTGGCCCTCCGCTCCCACTGAGGGATTGCCTCTGCCATGCGCCACCAGCCTGGTCTCCTACACCCACAGGTGGCCACCACTGCTGCGGAAGGGGTGGGGTGGGGTGGGGTGCTGGTTGGAGCCAGTGAGCCGGTCCTGGGAGCTGCCACCAGACTCCCAGCAGAGACCACGCAGAGCCCAGCTGGAGCGCTGCAGAGCAGGGTACATTCGGGCTCTGCCGGTGTGCTCTGTGCTTGGTCCTTTCTCCCCTGCCCCTTCCCACTCCACTGGGGGAGCGGCAGTGCAGACCGGCTCGCTCTGCCACACTCCACAAGCCAGATCTGGGAGGGTGGGGGCTTTCTCCCCCGCCTCCTCCAATGGGAGCCAAGGCTGGTGCGGGGACTGGAATGTGGCACTAACATTAGAACCGTGGGAAGCCCAGCTCCAGCCCCAGCAAGCGGTCCTGCCTTGGAAGCAGCTGGGGCCAGGCTGTGGGGACTTCTGGGGCCCGACCACAGACTCCAGCCCCGCAAACTGGAAGGCAAAAGGTGGGAGAGGGGCTCGGAGAGAATGGGGGGAAGGAGGGTGGGAGAGGAAGAGGCTTGTGCTGAGGGGAGGGGGGGCAGGGCAGCAGCAGAAAGGGGAAGGCACCAAGGGACAGAGTGGAGGAGACACAAATGCCAGGGGGCCAAGTGGAGACAATGAGGAAAAGGACAGGAGGAGGGAGAGAAGGTGTCACGGAGTGAGAGGGGTGATGCAAGGAGAGGACGGGGAAGGGCAAGGGAGAGGAAGCAAGGAGAGGCGGAGGGTCTGGGAGGTGGGCATGAGGAAGGCGGGGATGGAGCAAGCCATGTGTGAGGGCACAGAGGGGCATAAGAGGAACTGGGGCAGAGGGAAACTGATCCACATTCAAACTTTTTTTAATCTCATTTTTTTATTCAAAACACAGCACAAATGGGGACTCGCTGAAAAGTTTGGATTAGGATCTGAACTCTGGAAGTTTAGAAATAATCACATCTGGCAGGCTGGTTATTTTAACTGGTTACAGTTAGATAAAGGGGTGTAAAACTCTTCCCCTATGGGTAGGAGGATGGGGGGAAGTTCTTAGAGAGAGTTACTTTTTCTTCTGATCATGTATCCATCTTGACCCAGAGTGTCAGGGGCATAGTAACCAGAGGTCAGGGGGTGTAGGTAATGTGTCCCTAATTTTGGTTCAGAACCTATGGTCACCATACGCAGAGAGAACAGAGTTCAAATGGCCGTCCTTAAAAGGGGCAAGCTTCCTTTTTTTTTTTTTTTGTCTCAACAAAAATCCTTGGTTTTTCCCATAAAAAAAAATATTGTTTGATGTTCCGTGGTCTTAAAAAGCATAAGAAACACAGATGTAAAGCATTTATGCATTAAAGCATTGAGTACCAGTTCTATGTCCCAGGGTGGGGCAAGTAGTCTAATGTCTGCGTATAGCAATTAGATGCCCTTCATGAACCTTTTGGTGACTGTGTGGGCAATGACCACAGTGTTATCCATCTTATGATGGAATCTGATGAAAGCGGCAATGTGGACTTTGAGTCAGTGGAAAAGCCCGATGATCTAAGTTCCAACAGGTAATCTAAAAATCAGTGGAAGAGAAGTGAAAACTGGAGAGGTGTTTTAGCAGCATACATAGATGTGGACTCTTTCATTTCTGTAGGTAAGTAGTGCATGTAGTATTATACTGCTCTGTAGAAGGACTGTCTGGACTGTTTCTGAACATGCAAGCTCTTCATTAGAGAACCACTGAGTAGCCACACCTGAGGAAGTCCTTTTAAGGTGCGGTGAAGTAACTGGCTCCAGCATTATGATAGAAGATTATGAAGAGGGGGCAGAGGAATGGGTGGCTTGACTGATATCCATATCATGGTTGTCTAGGCCATGTAGAGGCTATTAGAATGATATTGAATCCATCTGTCCTGATCTTTCGTATTACTCTGTTTAGCAGAGGTATCTGAGAGAACACATGAAGGAGAATACCAGTCCATGGAAGCATGAAGTACTCTCCCTAAGAATATTTTTCCAGACCTGAGCTGGAGCAGAATATGAGGCATTTTTTGTTCATTTCAGTGGTGAACAGATCCAGTAACCCAGGACTGTAAGAGGTGTAGGATGGGGTTGTAGAGTTCCCTCTACCGCCGTAGGGGGAAGGATCGACTGAGCTCATCTGTGATGGCGTTCTGAGCGCCAGTTAAGCATGAAGCAGATATATAAATGTTGTGTTGGAGACATCAGTTCCATAGTTTGGATCTCAGTGCATAGAGATTGGCTCCCCCTTGTATATTAACATAAAACATGCATACGATGTTGTCGGTCATGATTCTGATCTTTCGGTCTCATGAGGGGAAGGCAATGGAGGAAGGCATTGTATATGGCTCTGAGCTCTACTAGATTTATGTAGAGCATGCTTTCATTAGGGGATTGGAGTCCTTAAGTTGTGAGATGTTCCATATGTGCTCCCCATTCTGTGAAGGATGCACCTATAGCAATGATGATTCATGGGGGGGGGGGTCTTGTCAGAAAGGGACCCCAGCACAAAGGTTGAGAGGGAGGGTCCACCATATGAGCGAGTCTTTAAGGCATATCAGTAGTCTGAGGTAAAAACCTTTTTTTTTAAAAACTAAACAACTAAAGCTTGTGTACAAAATGGGGAGAATAAGAATGCAAGCATGAAGAGTAGAATGATAGAGGGATTGCTGACATCCGTCTCTAGCTGGGGACTGTAGAGAAGGAACTGAGGAGCCCAAGCAGTGCACACGCTGTTCAAGCTCTGACAGACTGTGAGGCAAGCAACGTGCATGCACGGCTTCTACAAATACAGCGGTCAAAATCTCTGATTGAAGGCGCAGGGATGGAGCAGACCACCTACAGGGCCATCCCTCGAAGGAGAATTAGATGCTACAAAAAACAGAAATAA